CCCTGTATTTCCCCTTTAGAACCAACTACATGTGCCTAACCAGCTATATGTGGAGGTTTTCTTTGAACACAGTTTACAGTATATATATATATATATATATATATAGAAAGATATGTAAATAGAAAAAGTATACAAATCTTCAGAGAATATTGTTAAAGAAAATGTTTTTATCAAATTGACACGCCATCCTTTGTCTCGCTCACTGTCACTCGCAATACACACATAAGACTGACGGATTTTGTTGATGTTACTACTGCATGTTTTATGTCAAACCTCCTTTGAAAAATGTTGCAGAATCTTGACTGATAAGAGTACATTTTGTAGCTTATGAACCCTTTTTTGTGATTGAAAACTATTGACAGGATTTTACAATGCCGTTATTAAATGAGTCATACCTTTGTACGAAGAAGACATCCTTGGAGGACTTATGACACTTGGCAATCAATGCTTTGATTTGAATCTCAGAAGAACAATTGAACAACCTCCATGTAAAACAAGCTGCCCTGGCAATTACAAAAAAGGGCTGAGAATCAGTCGACATGTTTAATTCATCTGCAGCACTGTGGGTTGCAGCCCTTTTTGTCGACTCATCTTCCTCTGTTCCCCTCAAATTCAACAACATCAAAGTGGTGTTTCACACAGCCCTCATCAAACAAAGCACAAATACCTGCTTTTCTACTGTTACTCCACTGTGAAGGCCTCTTGACTCCACCCTCACAATCCTCAGACCTACACACAGAGGGGTGGCATGGTCTTTCCATGAGGAGTCGGCCTTGAGGAACACCAGGAATCAAAGAGGCTTAGTGGGATTTTTATCCACCGTAGCAACTACTACTACTTCTTCTTCAATTCTCGCTTGACTTTGTCCTCTATACTATTGATCACGTTACGGTGTTAGCCAGCCACCTTGCCTTGAAACAGGTCCATAGCAAACACATTTTGGTGGTTTTTGATTTCCTTTATTCCGTATTTACCCATCTTCACAGTATAAATACAGGAGCCTCAGCTAGAAATAGCAGCCTGGGTGTATATTGGACAAACATGATCTGAGCACTCACCAACACACCACAATGACTGCTATACGAACCCTTTCACCTCTTTCTAGAAGTGCAAAAACCACTCGTGGACAGCCAGACGGACAGGACACCTCTGAGTACCTCAGTTTCTAGCAGCAGTGTCTCCAACCCCGACCAATGCCTCTGCGCTCAGGGGATTCTCTCACACAGACGGACCCTGATAATACAGGATCAGTCCCGCAGGAATGTTGTCCATATTCTCTGAATAAAAAGGGGCAATCATTTGAGCCCAGATTCTCTTGTAGCCATTTTCTGAGACTGGCAGAGCAGTGAAAGATGTTGTGGTCGTAGAAAGAGCTCAATTGTAGCCAATGTGTGTGGGCTGTACTGTATGCTGTGCATTTGCAACAAAGTGAAACAGAAGGGATGCTGTAGCAGCAGATTTGAGTTTTAGTTATTCAGATATTTCTGAGGCAGAGCTGCTCTGGAGGAAAAAGCAAAGTCACTGGAGGTAAACCTCAGTGGGAGAAGCAAAGGACCTTTTTTGTCTGGCTTCTTCTTCAGTACCTGCAATATTTAAAATATACAAACTATTAAAGAAATAAGAAATCAACCATATGATGTTTGGAAAATGCATTTTTGATTAGCACTCAAATTCAGCTTAACTTGTGCAGTAACTTTATACACATTAGTAGAACAGTAAACAGTGAAGCTGATATTAAATATAGTTCATTTTAAGAATTGTAACTCTAATTCTTATCTATACCAAATCTACATTAAATATGTATTTGTTCCCTCCTCTTAGAGGTTTTACTTCACACCCCCAGAGCAGCTTAAACCCCAGAAGATGTCTAACTGAAACTCCAATGTGCCTTTAGCACTGAGGTGTAAATGTGCTCATATGTGTGTGTTTGGTGTGTGCGTGTGTGTATTTACACTGTAGTGTTGCTTTACAGTACACACACAGGTAACCATGTGGGTCAGAAACAACTGAGCAATTACTGTGTAATTATCAAAATCCTACCCTGCCACCCTAGCGTTTACAAACATGTAAATACCTGTTGCCAATGGACATTGCTATTCTCAATATGACATATATTGTTATAACAATATGATTATTATAAGTATGATTCTTGTCATTAAAAGGATTAATTATTGCAATCACTCTCATTATTATAAATGGTGTTGTCAATTAGCTATGGGTGAACATTGTTCTTTATTCAAGGGTGAGTAGTGTGTACGATAACAAAACAAAAAACGTTGAATACATGACGATACTTCTTAAGTTGCTGCTACTGAGGAGATGGGGTAGAAGTAAAGCTAAGTGACAATAACTCTGGGAAGACATTTTTCTCTGGGATCGATGATGGACACACCAATGAGGAGTTAGAAATCACAATTGGAAAGTAAGCGTTCGACAGACGGACTGAATGGACTATCCAAACTTACGACCTTCTTTCTCCATTTGCATTTAACCCAATATGTTCTGCCAGATGAGGAAAACACGGACAAAAAAACTGTTGCAGACTCTCCACTCTCTGTATTCTACTCTATAATGTAGCAAAACTAAAATAGCCCCTCATTGTCTTCTCTCTCCACTTCTTTCATGTATTTCTCCTATCATTTTTGATCAAACGGGTTTGATACAGCGAGCTTTTCTGTCTTTAAGCTCAGCTTTATCTTGAGTTTTCTTGTTTTCTACACGTTTGATTCAGTGCCAAGACAGCATATGGTAAATACAAACATTAAATGCTTTTTTTTCTCCTATAAAAAAAGTTGACTGGAGCATATAGCAATAGCAATGCCATAAGACATAAAAGTTGTTTCGTTAAGCCACCAGTGGATACACAACATGCATGAGAACACCACGGTGACGGAGGAGATGCTGAGTTTGTGCTGGACGACAGTGGAGGGTGTTGCACAGTGAAGTGTAAAATCATGATTCTGTTTGTTGTGCTGTGGTTCTCATTTTGTACATACACATTTATTTATTGATCTTGTATGTTTTATGGATCTAGATGTGTCCAAGGAGCACGTCCAATAGCGCTGAAGCCCGGAGAGATGGCACACTGTGACGTGGTTTACCCCCAACACAGAATGTAACACTGTCAACGTTGTCAAAACATTTTCTAATGGCTAATATTATTACTATTAATATGATTATTATAAAGCTATTTTAGCGAGTTAAATGAGAGGTGCTGTGTCTACTTAGTCTTTCTTTTGTGTGAATTTTCTGACTCTTTCTTAATAGGCCTCAATATGACTCCTTTGTTTACTTCTGTAACACAATGACATCCCTTTGTAACCCCTGTGCTTCTATTGTACACATTGTACTGATATAGGCTAAGGGGCGGGACATCTCTAATCGGTTGACCAATCACAACAGAGCCGGCCAGCTAACCAATCAGAGCAGACTGGGCTCTGGTTTCAGACAGAGGGTGAAAAGAGGTGCTGCAGCACAGACAGTATGAGAAAAATAAAGAGCTTTTTGAACATTAAAGCATGGAGACATGTCACAGTAGAGGCACTACATACTGATATGAAACCAGAAAATGAGGATAACATACCCTCTTCAACAACATTATAAGGTGAGCTGTAAAAGTACAGTTGAGTGGATTTTGTTATTATTGTGATAGAGCCAGCTCTTTCCCCATTTCCAGTCCTGATGCTAAGCTAAGCGTCTTAAGCTTTGTATTTAATGAGACATGACAGCAGAAATATTCTATCCAACTATTGAAATGTTGAAATTACTTTACAGAAAATGGTGTTAATGCAAGACCGTTTTGCTTATACAAGCTGATTAAGAAAATATATTTGTACAGATTGTAGAGGGAAAAATAGTTCAATTGCAGAAAAAACCATGTTTACTCAGCTACTCTAGTGGCCTTATTACATCTCGTTGATAATTAAATAAATAACTAAGTAGATGGAAATGTTTGCAGTGGAACCACATTTGAAAGCGCCATCCAAAATGCAAATCAGAGGTCAAAAGAAAACTTTCCTTTTCTTTCCTGTTTTTGTCGTCTCTCTCTGCCTGTCGCAATTTGCAATGCAAATGTCGAGCTGAGCACATACATCCATTTAGGAAGGTTAAAGAAGAGGACAGAGAATAACTTAGCTCTGGCATTCTGAGTAAATTACAGTCCCTGTGGGTATACTTTTCAGTCAGTCAGACTGACACAGTAAGGGTATATTTTGGTCCATTCACACCATATTTGTGGTAAATAAACTGCACTCATAAAGAAATCCTGCTGCTACGGAATATAAAGTGTCTCACTGAGGTTTTCACATTCAGCGTAGAGCCTCAGGGTGGGAAGCAGGTTACATCCAAAGATCAGGAGTTAGTCAAATATGAAAATGTTGGACGTGAATGAGTAATGCCACCCAGAGGCACTTAAGGGAGTTACAGGGAGGGAAAAGGTGCTAGCAAATGCTGCCCAATCGTGAACATACGACGGAGTGTGAAAACTAAGTGATCACACTTGAGTGCAAAAAGCACTCTCGAGGTTTGTACATCCTGTTCGAGACTCCAGAAAGTCAGATAGGATTTAAGTTTTAGAGGCAGTTATTGTGTCTGAGCACAACTCAGCAGCAAGAAACAGGAAGTTCCTGAAGTAATGAGTCCTGAAGGATGCTTTAGGCGCATTGAGACACAGCTAGACAACTTTGTTTCTTGACCTAGCCTTAAGGGATGCTGAATGTCTCAAAAACCCTACAGGCTAAAAGCACTGCAAGAAAAAAATGAGCTATGAGCAGGAACAGCCGAGTGCCATCGTGCTATTATATTCAAGAGAAAGAAAGAACACATTTCCATTATCTGCAACACTCAGAAACTCCAACCAAAACAGTCTAGATTAAAAAACAGCACTACAGGTAAGTGGAAATATACATTTTTTGATGTTGGACTGAACCATCTAAGAGCTTCTTTGGAATAACATGAACCTTTAAGATACTCATATAATCCATAACACAACACAACACAACTATTCATCAGAAAATATTTTTATTCAGTTGTTTTTAGAGTATACAGTAAAACAAATAAAAAGTGCATTGTATGTAAACGGTTTATTTTCCAACAAACCCTCCTAATTAATTCTTTCTGAAACAGCAATTGGACAGCTGGGGAGCTGCCAGGAGAGCTTCACAAGCTGAACAGAAGATACCACTTTTCATTCAACATTTGTATCTAAAAGAGCGCAATTAACAAGCAGTGACACATTCAATCTGAAGTCCTCAGAGCTATAAAAGGAATCATTGAAGAGGAGTGTTTCATTCTTTCATTTTTGGCACAAATACTAATCCATTACATAAGTGCTGTCCCTTTAAACGTAGTGCATACATTCACCCATATCCCACAAAGATCATTAAAAACCTGAGATATTAAAAATCATGATATTCAGCATTTTAAAGGTTCAAGGCTTACAGGATGCCGTCCAGTTTGAGTGTCCAGGCCTGCCCGGGGGCATAGGGCAGCTCAGGCAGAAGAACAGTGAGACCCCCACTAGGGCTGACCGGAGACCAGGGGAGAGGTTTCGGATTTCCCAACAAAGTCACCTGAGAAGGGAAGAAATGTGTGATTTAGTTTGTTATATTATATGAGAAAGGGTATATTTTAGTGTTGGGTTGCTATACTGTTCTGCAGGTCCAGTCTGTTGTACAACCTTAAACCGTTTTGATTTAATGCAGCTCAACCAGCATATGTCATTATGGTTTATTCTGGCATTTGATTGAAAAGTAGCCTTCATCAGAAACCATCAAGACACTCAAATTAGCATTGCATTAGTAATGAGCAATATGACAGTGTGAGAAAACAACACTGTGTTTTTTTTAACGCGCTAACAAAGCCGCTAATGTGTGTATAATCTATAAAAACAACATCATTTCAATCCCATTACCTTAGTGACGGCAGATGTTTTGGGTCCCAGTAGTAGCAGTGTGAGCTTGGGGGGTTTGGTGATCATGATGACATACACAGAGGTTCCTTTAGAAGTATACCTAGAAAAATGGAGAAGATTATTGCTCCAATGATCCACTTCAGGGCATCTAGCATCTGAGTTATTAAGATGCAAACCACGCTACATCCTTTGTTGCATTTTCTCCCCTTCTCTCTTTACTTTTCAATCAGTAGTTAATTAAACATGCTTTAGTACTGTTAACACGTACACTCTTATTCATGGCTCAAAAAGCAAGAAGAGCATTTGAATGTCAAAGTTATGAAAGCTTTGAAGCATCAAAATATTCGGTAGAGGAATACTATATACAATGTGTGAATGCATTCATTTCAATAATACATGACAGGATTACAAGATCACAGACTGTTTCTCCCTCTGCTTCTTACCAGACTGGTACAGTGGTGTTCTCGGTCTGGACCCTCCAGGGTTTGGAGGCGTAGACGGCCTCTCCATTGATCTGCAGCCAGGCTCCGACCCCCCTGAGCCGCTCCTCAAACACTGCGGGGATCATCCCATCAGGTGTGGGACCCACATTCAGGAGGTAGTTCCCTCCCAGAGCCACAGTGTGAACCAGATCCTGGAACAAGAGAAGGATGACAAGTCAGGAAGAGACACCTCACTGATCACAGTATTCCTCCTGTGCACATATTTAAGCAGGGAATATTAAGATGACTGAAAAATCAAGTGCTTTGCTTAATTTGGATCAGGATTCTCTTGAAAATGATTGCAAAATCAAGGCACACCTGATTGTAACATAGACAATTAAAGGTCAGCTAATTGGCTGTTTGAAAGAGCAATGTATTAGATTAGATTGCTAACATTAAAACAGTAATCAATTTAAAAAAAAACTGAAATTACAAAATGTCTCCGTGATGGCTGCACACGAGCAGAAATTACGTGTACAGGTATGTTCATGTATAAGATATACAAAAGCGGAACCAACCTATCTCTCATTACAGATTGGTTAATACAATGATGCCGTCATCACTTATCCTCACCTCTATAATGGAGGGTAAGTCCATCAGTTCGCTCATCTTCATGTTTCGGCGGTAGCCCCAGGAGAGATTGTCCACAGATGTGCATTTCTCCCATTTGTGCTTGGGCAGCTTGCCCGGAGTGTATTTGTCTTCACAGTTGTAGTAGCCGCCATGTTTACAGGCACAGCCAGCGCCCCAGCGGTCATTCGTCACGATGGTATCCTAAGATGAAGAAAAGAAAATGCAACCCCAGTTGAACTATTAATAGTCGAATGTCTTGCTTAAAAAATACACTGACTGTATACAGCATTTGCACACTTGTTCAACTAGGACTAGAGATGCACTGATTTCAATTTCAATTTGTATTATCTTTGAGCAGCCAATTGTGACTATACTTGACAGCATGCAAACATATTTGTATTACTTTTCTTTCTTGGAAAATTGAAATTCAATTATATGTTCATAATAAAAAAAAATACTACTCAATAACTAACATACATTTCCTCCAATACTGCACCAAGTTTGAGTACCTTCTCTCACTCAAAGAGATGCACAATACTGTACAAAAACAATCCCACTAAAAATGTATTACAGTACATAACACTTTCTCTAACATGGTTTACTTTCCCAGAGGAAAACAGATGCAGAACAAATCTATAATAGATAAAAACTGTATGTAAATCTGACAACCGGTGGCCAATCAGTCCGTTAATCTCTATTTAAAACACTTACTTTGACTGGGCTGTCATTGTAGAGCCAGGCCAGGAATTCGGTGGAGTTCCAGTAAGTGTCAGGAGCTTCCCAGTCTCCATCGGACCAGATCAGATCAGGTCTGTACCTGCAGAACCACAGGAAGGTAAAGGTATTAACATACTGCCATAAGATTATATTAAAACATGCTTGTATACAGTCACATGTCAATATAACCAAGTCTAACTTTATTATCATAACATGGTAGAATAAACATGTTTGTATTGCAATCTGTTGATGAGGTAATTTAAGTGTTACACACCTTACAACCATGTTATAAAGCTCAGGTAGAAGTTTATGCATCACAAACTCCTGCGTTTTGAATCCATTCTTCTTGTCTGTCAGGTAGAGAGGGTTGAACCACTCATACAGGGAGTTGTAGAGTCCATAGTGCAGCGACCTAAACAAGAAAATAAAACATCTTAGAATCCAAAAAAGGCAGGCACTAAAACAAAAGACAGCAAGGTATCTGAATGACATGGTGATTGGGAAAGCCACAAATTCAACCCTATATTCAAATGTTGATATTTTGTTATCTGATTCAATTGTGGTTGAACAGTTTTATCTTGTCCTGAAAACCACTTCCTATTCAATAAACAAATTATGATTATCATATTCATTTCATCACAAAGTACAAAGTATAACACTTTCTCTGTACTTTATAGCATTTGACGGCCCACCTGTTGCGCACCGCCACCCCCAGGTCCCCCACCAGGTCCCTGTGAGGACCCGTATCCACTGAGTTCCAGTTCCAGGAGTTTGGAGACCCCCAGTTTGTAAATCCTTCATGGTGTTTGGCAGTCAGGACGACATATCTGCAAAAAAAAGGAAACAAGGAACTGTTAAATCAGGTTTGAGGAGGGTTGGATTACATGTACGGGATTATGTAATAAGGATACAAAAAAAGGTTTTCCCTTATAGTAACATAAAGGAAATACGTTACTGGTACATTTACTGGATTTGGATTATTGAGGATTATGCTACAATACCATTTTTTTATTATAGTATTGATTCAATCTTTTTAATACAAAATAATTCGTTTCTTATTTTTTAAGGTTACATTGTTCTGTTATTGCACATCAAATACCTAAATAAGCTTTTGTATAGATATTTCTTTCCTATTGCAATTTAAATTCAGATCATGCAAAAGTAACATTTGTTTTACATTACTTTCATATTGTGAAACGTAGATGAGGATCCTGATTAAATGTTTTATATGTAATAAGTAATTGCCTCGGAATCTATTTTTAAAGTAACCCTCGCAACCCTGTGTAATATACCAAATTAGGGACTTTTCGATGCAGCAGAATGCATGCTAGGAAGTATTCGAAACCGGAAGTGATCTTATTTGTTATCAAATGCTCTGTAAAGCCAGCTCAATAAATACACTCACTTTGCACCAGAAGCCTTGAATATGTCCGCCCAGTCCCCCGGGTTGAAGAACTGAGCGTGAAACTGGGGGGCAAACTCCGGGTAGCTGAATCCAGGGGGGTAGTTTTTGGACATGTAGCTCACACACTTCTGGTCCGGAGGTTGTTGGCCCTGCCAGTGCCACCAGAACCACTCACTGCCGAACCCGGGAACAGAAAACACCCCCCAGTGGACAAATATCCCCACCTTCGCCTGGTCGTACCATGGAGGCAGCGGCCGGGCGTCCAGGCTGGCCCAGTCCGCGGTGTACCGAGCCGCCGTGTGAGGCACCAGAACACCGAGGAGGAACCACAGAGCGAGCATGGTTTTAAAGTGTTAGAGTTAGAGTTCACTCCCCTGAATGTGAGTGAACATTAATGCTACTGGGAAGCTAATTTAAAACTGTTTAAAAGCAGAAAATGCGAAATAGTTTCACTTCCTGCAGCTGCACTATTATTGTTGTGCCCCTGCAGGTGCAATGTGGTCCCGTCACATGACTGAAATCACATGAGTGTCACGTGATCACACAGTCTGTATTTTTTTTATGATAACTTTATTTAACACATAAACTTTGCATGATGCAAGCTTTTTCCAAATGTATTATTTATTTATATGTAGTATCATCTTGTTCACACATGTTGCATTATTGTATTTAATGCAAATTTAAGCAAAGGGCAGATATCATAAATAACTAGATTTCTAGCCAAATTTAGCTTAGGCCTAAATAATAAGTTAAAGCTAAAGTTACTGTTTTAAACAAAGATGTTTTACTATACATACAAACATTGTACTTGTTTTATTTATGTATATGTATATGTATGATTATCTTGTTCACACATTTTGCATTATTGTATGTACATGTTATATATGTTTTTAACATCTATTACAAATGTAAGGAAAGGGCAGATATCATGAATTTATTAATTCTAACCTAATGCTGCATTGGCCTATATAATTGTGAGTTTACAAGCTTAAGTTTCTGTTTTCAACAAAGATTTTTAACTGTAAATAAAAACGATTAAATCTTGTAACAAAAAAGGACATACAAAAAAGATTAAAGTAACACCCAATCACACACACACAAATAGTTTTGTACACATCATTCGATACAAAACACATTTATTTAAACCAAGTACAAGTACGAGTGACCTTTCTATAATGTTTAAGGAAAGTCCAGCTTTACCCTTACAGTAGATACCTGAGGGAGTGATTCATTCAAAGTGATTGACAAATCAAACAGGAAGAAACAATATAAAAAAAGATCCTGCAAGTACATTAACTTTCAATAAGCCAACCCTTTTTAAGTGCTCCTGAATTGGCTTCAAATGAGCCAAACCTTTCTAAGTGCTACGTACAGAAGTAAGTACATTTCTTCTTTTTTTTATTGGCGAAGGTGCAGTCCCTTCTTGACCTAATTATTTGATATTGATTATCAACAACTCTCTGACGTTAGACAACTCCCTCCAGTTTCAGGCACCAGGCATTTCCAAGAGATTTTGGCATCGCAGGCATAACAATCCTGAGTCCAGCTGTTGGTGTGAGTGGTTCCCACTTCAGTGGTACATCAGGATAGTCCATGAGTGTAACCTGTGGATATAAACGAGAATAATGTAGATTTATTCAGTATGACAATTGAGTTTAACTGGAATTAAATGTTTAAGGCATACGGTGTACAACTTACTTGTGGCTCCAGTCATCCTCGGTGCTGTGAGCTGAAGGATCTGTTTGGACGGCCAATCAAGGATAATGGCATGAACCGTATTGTTTTTGGCCGTGTACCTATAATAGGAACAAGAAGTCTTATGTTACATCACAAAGATGATATCACATTTACTTTTTTGTCCAAACCAAGTGGAAATGTGTCTTTGGCCTCTACAACACAGTATGAAAACAAAGCAATATACATAATACAAAAGTGCAAATGGTCATGTAGCAGTGGAAATAATAAAGAGAGAACATTTTATAGATGCCTATATTTCAAGTGACAATGGCCTCACATAGAGACAGAAGATGGAGTGAAAAAACACAAAATCACAATCTCACCACACAGAGACAGTGCTGTTCTCCATCTGGACTCTTCATGGTTTGGTAGCATAGATGGCCTCTCCATTTATCCCCAACCAGGCACCAAGATCCCTCAGCCTCTCCTCAAACACCGGGGCAATCATGCCATCTGCCATTGGCCCGATATTCAGCAGGTAGTTACCTCCCATTGCCACCACGTACACCAAGTCCTAAGAAATGAGCGAGTTCAATTAACCAAATAACTTTTCTTCCATCATTTGTAGGTGATGTCCTACTATGAACTCTCACCTTTATGATTGACGGCAGGTCCATGACTTCGCTCAGCTTCATGTCTCTTCGGTAGCCCCAGGATCGGGTGTCGAGGGACTGGCATTTCTCCCATTTGTGGTCTGGAAGTTGACCAGGCGTGTACCTGTCAGCACAGTTGTAGTAGCCTCCATGTTTGCAGTAGCAGCCCTTACCCCACCTGTCATTGGTAACCACCACATCCTAAAGAAACACACGGGTTGTTACGTACAGATGAAGACTGCAAATAAGCATGATAAATGAAATACGCTCTGGTGAAACCTGTGGTTTTCTTTCACCTTGACTGGACTGTCGTTGTAGAGCCAGGCCAGGAACTGGGTGGAGTTCCAGTAGGTATCTGGTGCATCCCAGTCCCCATCAGACCAGATCAGATCGGGTTTGTACGTCGTTACAAGGTCCACAAGCTCTGGAAGAGTTTTACGGGCAACAAACTTCTGAGACTGGAATCCGGAGGCTTTGTCCAACAAGTAAAGGGGATTGTACCATTCATACAAAGAGTGGTAGAGGCCCAAGTGCAGTGACCTGTATGTAGAAAGATACAAGTGAATTCACAAAGTAGTTTAGCCCTGTCATTCGTAGTCAACTATTTCCTTTCTGACTCATATTAGATTAGAGAATTCATGCTTATATTAGAAGTTGTTTTGTTTTTATTTACATCCCATTACTGGTTGCTTTCTGTAGATCTCCCTCACCCCTGAAAGATTTACCTACATGTAAATTATTATTGACGTTGTATTTTATTTATTGTGAACTACTTAACTTCCCTTTCTTCATAAGCTCTTTAGATGCAGCATCCTGCTCCTTATCTTCTCACCTATTCCTGACAGCAGCAGCCAGGTCTCCCACCAGGTCCCGGTGAGGACCCACATCCATTGAGTTCCAGTTCCAGGAGCCTGCTGAGGGCCAGTTTGTGAATCCTTCATGGTGTTTGGATGTGAACACAACATACCTGTAGAGGCACACAATTAAATGTCCTTTCATATATCAGGAACAAGGAAATGAGAAGTTATAATAACAGAAGATAAGACCCCAAAAAGTGAATCAGATTACTCCAAAGCATTTTGTTAAAATAAAGTCAACTGGACATTGACACACTTTGGAAAAAATAGGTTCAAATTACAACAAAATAGTTAATGGGTTTCACAATATTCAAAAAGGACCAATTCAAGCTGTGTGCAATGAAATGGATCAGGGACCTATACTCTTTTTATATGACATAGTGCCACTAACTGCAGGCAAGCCTTTACATGACACCTGCAGGTGTAGCTGTAGCTATACAAACACTGGCAACAAGAGACTTTGCTTAGTCAAATCCAACTCAAATACAGCAGGTTTGTGCACATTTGTATGGCACCACGAATAGATCTCATGACTGTACCTGGCTCCAGAGGCTTTGAATATGTCTGCCCAGATTTCCGGATCAAAGAATTCTGCACGAACTCAGGCGCAAAGTCGGTATATTTAAAACCAGGCGGGTAGTTTTTCTTCATGAACTCCACTTCTTCTGCGCGCTTTTCTGAGTGCCACCAGTACCAGAACCACTCACTGTACTGCCCGAAGCCAGGGACCGAGAAGACCCCCCAGTGGACGAAAATCCCGATCTTTGCTTCATCGAACCACCTGGGCAGGGGTCTGGCATCCAGGCAGCTCCAGTTTGCTTCATAGCGCGCTGTGCATCCAGGTATCCACATGAGAAATGTTACGCACATAAAAGGGAGTATGCATGTAGGACGCATTTTGAGGATTTCTTGTTAACCTGTAGAGCTACACCTGACTACGAAAAAGTTATAGTCTGACACGAGATGTGACTTTAGCTCTGCCTGTTTTTATCATTTGCATTACACCTGAATTCTGTTGTGGGAAGGGCAGAACTGTCAGTGTATCCGCCCTCTGGTGGTGCTGTAACATCCTACTTACAGTAAACATGACTCGATACTGTTGTGCAATTACCTTAAATAATATATTAAAGGTGGGGTAGGTAAGTTTGAGAAACCGGCTCGAGATCGCTAGAATTTGAAAATACACAACCGGAGAAAATCTGCCACTTCCTTATAGAGCCCCTCCTCCAACACACACGCGCACATGACCAATGAGGGCACGCGATAAGTTTGTGCCCCGATAGGAGGCTGACAGGCAGGTAGGCCATCCAGTTATTTTAGCCGGGCCGGCTAAAATGATTGGTCGTACTTTTTACAGTACTACGGCTTCCACAGATGACATTTTTTAATGGATTTTTTGTCAAAGCACTTAAGTCTTAGATATTCATTGCTATCGGGATGTTAAGAGCATTCCATGGAATATAACAAAAAGTGTATCTCGAGCCGGTTTCTCAAACTTACCTACCCTACCTTTAACCTTTCAATTGAAATCTGTATACATTTTAAAGAAGTCAGTTTTCTTTATTAATGCAAAACGCCTGTGATTTCAATGACCAATTTCAAGGATTTCTGAATACTTTATACTTTTCAACCACTAGATGACACCAAATGGCAACTTTGTGCCAATTTTGCAGCAGGGAAATGTTCATAAAGCCAATGACAAGATAACGAAATATTTACGCATAGGAAAACTAATGAAAAGGGACCAAATGTATCTACATGGCCCCGATATAACCACAACTCAAACTTATTTTCATGACCTGCAATCGCAATACATAAGTCAATAAATAAGGCCATATTAAATTCATACTGTAACATCTACGGTCACAGTCGAGCAATTAAAGGAATGTTTTTTTCTCCCGGTGCAGTGGGCTACAGATTCAGTAGCCTCATCTCAATACCCCTCCTCGACTCCTCCTTTCCCTCACTCGTGTCCCTTCCTTGCGTCTTAGCTCCGCCTCCGTAAGATGCGAGCGAGAGACACGAGGAGGAGACACGAGGACAGAGGAGTCCTCAGGTATTAATTGGGACGTCCTCGTTCACTCAAACGTCACTCTTAAACGACGTCTGTTAATGATGACATGTGCACAGCTGTATCCCCTCTCATCGGGCTTAACTGAATAACCCTTTAGAACCGGCCCATTTGTTGTTCAATATTTATTTAAATGAATGAATCTTTCTCTTGTTAGTCAAGGAATTCAATGTATGATGGTTGGTCCTGCTTTTGTGTTCCGTTTTGGTGTAAAATGTAGCCTACATTTAAATACAAATATAATTATAGTAATGTGAAAGCCTTTACTCTGAAAATGTGTGTCCTGTAGATCCCCACATTTACCACAAACCCACATTCAGGACTGTGAATTTTAAATAATTTAACTCCTGAATATCTTAACAAAAACAATACAAATAATTGTTATTTATCAAGATCTAGCCATTTATGAAATAGCTTTCTTAATAGCTATGTTTTAGTGATGTTCAAGATCATTAAACATGACTTAAATTGTTAGTATAACCTTAAGAAATGAATTGCACATAATAATTCCCACGGAGCTGTGAGCACTTAGACATTTATGTGACGCTTTTCCACTCATTCTTCCAGTTCTCCGTTTTCCTCTGTTGAAATCGACCAGCTGTGAAGGTGGGGGCGGGGCTTTTATACGCGAGTAGTGAAAACACTTCCGCGTAGTCTGCTCTCGTGTATCCTCCCTTTCGTCTCCTCCCGCACCCCGCACCCCTCCTCCCTCCTCCCTCACCCCTCCTCGACTCCTCCGTGTGCATTTCAGCTATTGGGACGTCCTTCAAAATGGCGTGTCTTGATCGATTTCCGGGTCAAGTCCCGGAGGAGGGGAAGAGAGGAGTCGAGGAGGGGTATTGGGATGAGGCTACTGTGTCACCTACACCAAGTGCAGAGCAGACAGCCAGCTGCCTTTCAAGAATCTGTTTCTCCACCAAGTCCTCCACTCTGCCAACCTCCACCTCATCTACGTCGTCCATAAAACTGGACCAATCTGGACCCCCGTCTGCACGCTCCATGGGCTCTGATTGGCCAGGGTGAGCAGAGTCATCGTGTGTGGTGGTCACACAGTTGCAGCTGTCACAGAGGCCGAAGCGCCGGAGCCCAGAAGAAACGCTTGATCCAGTGAAGGTTCGCCTGCAGCTCTTACAGGACACCGGCCAGTAGTGTCTGTGGACCTGTTGATGGTCAGCACAATGAGAGACATCCTTATATAGGCAACCCCAATTTAAAGATTATAGGTGAAGAACATCAACAAAGGGACAAAAATATTTACTGTCCTCGTTATACTTTCTTCTCTGCACACAAGTAGCAGGGAACGAGACAGATTTCAACAGCACTAACAACAAAATTAAGAGTGAGCTAATTACTGCGTATAACTAACTGTCAGCAATTACTGGCTTTGAGAGGGGTTTTAACGTCAATTAAATTCTATCAACTACAACCGAGACAAAATAAAACAGTCAATCTACAACGAGAGGACATATATTTGCAACCATCCCATTTCTAAATTGATTTAAAATAATAATAACTCAATTTTTTCAAACTAATTTCAATGTGTCTGTTTGGCATATTCTGTAAACAAAACATCCAATCAAAGACCCAGCATTGATTACCACTGAAAAATGGAATTCAAAATTGTTTTTTAAAAAGCTGCAAAAAGACTTAAATTATGTTTTTTGTTGAACAGGATTTGTAGAGAAAAGAGCTCACTACTTAACAGAAAGTTGATGACTGAATGGCATTTAGTAGTTGTATAATTCCTACTACCTCATCAAGAAGTCTACATATCAAAAGCAGGTTAAGTGTACAAACACATTAAAATCATATTGATTTTTATCTTGCAGTCACACTGAGTTCTTACACTGAGGGCATGGCTGCGAAGGTGCTCCTGTCTTGTGAACCTCTTGCCACACATGGGACAGGGGAAGGGTCTCTCTCCTGTGTGGCAGCGGATGTGTCTCTTCATGATTCCTTTCTGCTTGGCAGTGTACGGACAGAATGGGCACTTGTGGAGTTTGACTGGCACTACCAAACCATCACCTGCAGGGGGAGAGAGAGGGCAACAGGTCAGATTAACCTCAGTAGGACAGCACTGCAAATTGTGCATCCTTACATATGGATTGTTACATGTTTCTGTTACGTCAGTGTAATTAACAGTATGTAAAAAATGAGGTTCGCAGCCAAATCTCTACCATTCGCATCAGTTTAGATTGATCTTAAATTACCTGTGTCCTCTCCAAGCCAATCAGACTGGATCTCCATGATAGATGACCCCACAAACCCTAAACTTTCGTCCATTCTGCATCCTCCTGTGCTGCTACCCATTCCTTGGGTAAAACGCTTCCCCCCTCTCTCCCCCTGAGGACTTTGGCCTTCCCCTCTGGCCAGCATCTCCATGAGCTGCCTGGCATTATAGGAGGGGCTGTATCCTGAGGGGGAGCGCTCATTGGAGGGAGAGGGAGGAAGTAGTCTGCTATTATGAGGGTTATGGAGAGAGTGCCCGGGATATGACGACAGGTCTTTGGAGTCAGGGGACTCCATAAGATCCTCATCGGGGTCATACTCTATCTTAGGGTTCACTAACTCAGGGGTCAAAGCAGACGATGAAGAAGATGAGAGGTTAGACTGATCCATTTGTCCCTTCTGTCCTTCATTAACAGATGCAAATTCTTCCGTAGAGTGGTAGTCCCTGTCCATGTCTCTGTTGGGGCCAGGAGTTGTGTTGACGGGGATAGACAAGGGGGTTCTAGCTGAGGTCCCAGACTCTGTTCCTCTATCCGAATCTCCAGCCTGAGAATGAGGCTCCCCAGCCCTTGCTCCACTGGAAGTGGTCGCAGCAGGAGTGCCGCTGTCTGCAGGACCCGGCCCCCCATCCTGGGTCTGCTTCTCCTTCTCTGCGTTGCTCTTCTTCTCCTTGTTGCATATTTCCAAAGATGAGCGGATGTAGCCCTTACAGAAGTTGACCAGATCGGTCATCTGCAGGTAGCTGCCAGCTGACATTACCTCGATCACATTGCTTCTGTTCAGGGCCAAGCGGCCAGAGTAGAGGAAGTCCAGGATGATAGAGAAAGCATCGGCTGTCACAATGTCCAACGATGCTGTGCTGCAGCGCTGTCCACTATCCTGAAAAGAGTATTGAAACGTTTAAGACAGTATTTCTTTAATGACTTGACAATACACATGTTGCTGTTGAACTAGACTTTGAGCCAGGTTTCCTGTTTAAAAGTTAGTTACAGTTTTATGATTTAGAAAGAGAAGCAATGCAATTATTTTGGCTGGATATATTTAACAGATATAATTTTAGATGTATTAACCAAGAGTGTATTTTAGCAACATACTGGATGGCCCACTTTGATAAAATCAGCAATGAATGGGCCACAACAACTATGGAGAATCAGTCGTCACATTAACATACAAGACCCTAAACCACATTACATTTGTTTCTAAAAAAGACATGCCAAACACTCTCACCGTTTGCTTGAAATTAAATCATTGGTAAGCACTGATATAATCCAGTCATACCTGCAGATAGTGAACCAGAAGAGCCCGGAAATAGCCGCTTCCAGCAAACAACACATTACGATGAGCCTTGAAGACGCGGCCTTCAACAAGGATGCTGCAGTCACAGAAGAAATCCCTCTTACGTTGCTCATTGAGCTCGAACAGCAGTTTGGGCAGGTAGCAAGGCACCTCCATGTCTGAACCTCAATGAGCCCTGCTAGGGAGAGGGGAGAGATGGGGAATCATTTAAGGGTGTGTCACTTTAAAAAGAGGAAACAGCAAAAGGCACAATGGAGTTTTTGGTTTTTTAACATTAGAATATAAACTAATTTCATTTCTATTATCTTTTGGAATAATTGACCAGAAATGTCATGTTTATTTCTTCATTCTGTTAGATAATAAACATATGTTAATTGTACAGTACTGACTCAAAATGGGTTAAATGGAAAGGGGGAAACATTCACCAATGAGTTCACTTGATGCTAAAACGCATTATGTTTACACATTTTTACTTACCTACGTGTTACACCCCATAGAAAACAAAGCCTGCACATACCCACGTTTGAAATAGGAAATACAAAGAGAACATTCAAGTAGCTCTATACTGTTGTTTGCTTACAAGCTATCTTGTGATGCTAGCACAGACTAGCCAGTTGTTGATACTTTATACTAAAATGAAGGACTTTCAACACCGATTGAAGCATGAAAACACACAGTGGAATACACATATATAACATAACGCTCTCACCTTTGTAATTACGCGACCGAAGTTTCAAAAACCTTTAGAATAACACTAAAATATTGATTAGCAAGGATTAGCATCGTTCATTGTCCTGTCCATAGGAACTTCCGGTTTCAAGAGTCGGTGACGTATCACATTCAACCAATCAGTGGCCGAGGGAGGCGCGGCCCATTCAGCCCGTTTGTAAGATTACTTTTTATATTGTCCTGTCCTATTTTTTTTCTCTGTCTCTCTCTCTATTCTCTACCTATTTTATACACCAACAAACACTGCAACAGTATCAAAAGGTTTCAGGTCTGTTTCAGGAAAGTAAATATAAATATATATATATATATATATATATATATACTTATATACTTTATTCTTCATACAATATATAAACAATTTAAAATGTATCACTAGTTGACGATGTGATAAAATGACATGCTAAAAATGTAACACAACACTTTTTACAATTTTATGTTTGAGTAAATGGATCAACATATATATATCCTTTATTTAACCATGGTAAAATAACTCATTGAGATTAAAATCTCTTTTACAAGAGTGACCTGCAGCATGAACAAAGTTACAACAGATAAAACACAAACATTACAGGCAGACAAATACAGCTGTAAAACACAAATAAAATGGCACATTAGCCCGTCAATATGCAAAATGAAAGAAACTATTAAAAATCATTAAAAACTGGCAAAAAAACGACTTCAATTTTTGACATACGAGCACTCACATCTACCAATGGTGTCGTGTTCTCTGTCCTTTAAGATGGACCTGAATTCCCCCAAGGTGATCAAATTTGATAGTTGCAGCTCCTTCTGTACATTATTCCAAGCAGTGGGGGCAGCATATTTAAAAGCTGTTTTACCCAGTTCTGTTCTTACTTTAGGAACCAGCATCTGAATAAAATCTTGGGAGCGCAGGCCATATAGACTTTCTCTTTTACACATAAATGTGCAAATGTAAGAGGGAACAAGCCCAAGCAGAGATTTATAAATAAAACCCAACCAGTGGGAAAGTCTGCAGCATATAAAGTGCAATGGTGGATCCACATCCAGTAATAAGACGTAAAGCACAATGGTACACAGTATCCAAACTCTTTAGGCACTGGTCAGAGGCATTCATATAAAGCAGATCACCATAATCCAATACAGGTACAAACGTTACAGAGATCAAATGTTTCCTTGTCTGAAAGGAGAAACAGGATTTGTTTCTATAAAAGAAACCTAATTTTATTTTTAGCTTTGAGACAACATTTTCCGTGTGTAACTTGAAAGACAAGTTCTGGTCAATAATAAAACCCAGATATTTGTAAGTAGTGACCCTTTCAATATCAGTCCCTTGAATATGTGACGATGATTGTTTGTTTCTGACAATAACATGTTTTTTTCATGCAGTTTAATTTCTATGACAGTTCAGTTATGTCTGCCTTTCCCCTTTGCAAAAACTAATTGATAGTGATGATGATAATGATGATGATGATGATGATGATGGGGATGATGTTGTGCAGAAGAACCTCAAAGTGTCACCCTCCCTATCATGCCGAGCCCAGCATGCCGCTGCACAGCCTGCCCACATTGTCTGCTCAGGAATACTTGTTTATTTGCTTTCCATTTTGGAGAGAAAATAATTCCCCTTTTTTATTTTCGGACATAGCGAGAGTAAACAAGTAGTTCCTTCAGCGCTGCGCCACACCCTCTCAGCACAATCCACAGCTCTTAGAAGTGTTTTTTTACACTGATGGGTGCCAACCAAGCAAGTTATTTGTTTCAGATATTTTCCCATGGCAAACAGGGCGAATACAAAGGCTTCGTGGTGGCCTGGAGAAACCACGGGGTAGGCGTACATGAGCCTCCATACTCACCCGCTTTTGAAAATGAGATTTATGGCACCTCGTAAAAGTTCTATTCATGCTTATAAGCACTAAATATAAACTAGTATAAAACAGCATGGGATCGACTCAGTCCTTGTAAACCTGACCTGACAGAGTGTTGGTCGGGCTGAAGGCAGGCCAGCCGCCTCTTGACCCAGCGGCCCAACCCTCACACAAGTCCAACCCGGAGCGAGGCTGAAATGAACTCTGAGGTAGCCCTGGACGCTGACCTTCATCTTGCTCTGACTCAGGGAAACACAAGACCTTTGTTTTGGTCATTTGTTGACATATGGGCAGGAAACTCCCTCTCCATAGACCTTTTACAGCCAAGCCCTCACACTGACGTTTCTACAATACCGCCATATCTGTGTGTCGGTTTAATGCTGGTTTACACCCATCAAGCCCTTAGGAACAAATAATATTCAGGATTTATGATTGGGTTTTGGCTTATGCCTATGATTATGATGGCAGATGATTTACTGTTTGAAGCTCAGACTAAAAAGTAAATAGATGCAGCGATGAATGTTATGTAAGGCTGCATCCAGATTTGAGACCTCACTCATTGTGTGTGTTAGCCACTGCGAGACCCACGGCTGGCACAGAGGGCTCCAGCAGCACCCCTCTGGGTCCCTGTGGTCTGGGCCTCAGCACATAACAGCCACTTAGGCCGGCATTTTCCCAGGCTGAGACAACACACCACGGTGGCAGCGCGAGCCACAGAGAGGGCCTGATTAAAGAGTAGGGACAATGGAGGGAGAGAGACCGTGGTGGCATTTTCCATCTCCGCCGCTGTCTCCTGGGGGGACCAAGTATGTGCCGTGAAACGTTTGAATTATCCCAGAATCTCTGGAATTCAGACAGAGGCACCGCGGAGAGGACCCTCGACCGGGGATCAAAGAGCTTTGAGAGGGGTGCGGTGGACTGGTGGTGAAGTCGAGTACATAGGGGAGAATGAGTGTGTGTGTGTGTGTGTGCGTGTGTGTGCGTGTGTGTGTGTGTGTGTGTGTGTGTGTGTGTGTGTGTGTGTGTGTGTGTGTGTGTGTGTGTGTGTGTGTGTGTGTGTGTGTGTGTGTGTGTGTGTGTGTGTTTCGGTAAATGGACTTGAAAAAGATAAAGATGATGTTAGAATTTGAATCATATTTTCTTTTATGGCGACATGTTGTTTGACTTCTGAGGATGCCGTGATCATTGAGCAATGAAATACAGGCATGTGGTGTGTGTGTGTGTTGCTGTCCTTTTATCCCTCTTGGGATCAGATAATGCAATCATTGCCAATCATTGGGAGTCTAATACAGCGGGCGCCCCTCTTTAGTTTAAAGACGCCACTCTCCTCTGTGGTGGCAGAGGGAAAGGAAGGGAACAGCGCAAGGGGGGAAACCTCGTCCTTCTCTTTCTGTCTTTCTCTCTCTGTAATTATCACTTAATGTTCTTCGGTGATCTGGAGACGTCTGTCTCTCGCTTTGTCCTTTCTTCCCTCGCTGGAGAGGAAATGTATCACAGTCTGAAATAAATCTGCCAGCCTTTTTATTATTGTAAATTTAGCAGCAGAACAGAGTAGTAAATGGAGCCCTCCTAGACCACATGCTTCCGGTAGAGAGAGCCTCAGTGCTGGCTGTCTTTGCCACAGCCAAGTCTAAAGATCAAAGCCTGCCGTACTATATACAGTTAGCTAGTCGTCCTCAAGCGTTGACCTCAAGCAAGTTTTCATGTCTCAGAAAGACAGCGTGTGTTTGGCTCGAGCCACATGCACAGTTTAGGGAATTAGTTCACAACACAAGTATGCCTTTCAGCAAGGCCTTTCTGTAGGAGCATCTGTTGTGTGTGCTTTTCTTACTGTGTCGAGCTCATGTCTATCGATATATCTTTGCGCTGTACGTCAAGTTTTGTCATGGCATTGTGTTGAGTTTGTTTGATGGCATTTGTGTTTATATAAAAACTAAATGTAAAAAACGGTGGTCTGGAAAGTTGCATCATGGCATTCAACAAGAATAATTAGCATCACATTTGATCTGATTTGTGATGCCCAACCAGTGGTTTTAAAGAAAACTCAACTAATTAAATCAACTAAACTTCTAATTTGATGCAAACAATACATCCAAATATTTGTGTTAAATAGGAAAATAGATAGCCAAATAAACCAAGTGTGCCTCCCAAGCAAAGTAGAATTGCATCTCTGCAGCAATGACAACTAAAATGGGAATCTATTCATCATGTATCATCTCCTAATCTTAGTGGATTGTAACATTTAGGTCATGAAATTAATCTGTAAAGGCTTGACTTCAAAATAAAAAACAGATTTAAATGTTTTTAGTCTAGCTGATAGGCGGAAATGCCTTTTGCTTCTGAAGCAGTTACAAGCCCATTAAAAGAAGTGAGTCAACAGTCAACGACGGTATAAAGCAGTCAACACCATCCACAAGAGGTCCTTGAGCGTACAATCATAAATGAGCACAAACAATTATGAGGCTGGTGGGTCCAGTATGTGAGATTAACTGCGGACATGCCTGACGAGATCATTAGCAAAAAGTAACAATAAAACAGTTGAAATAGCAAGCTTAAGGTGTTGAGTAAACTGTTAGCAGTCTACAGTTAAATAGTGCTAAAATAGCTGGCTTCAAATGTATACATAAAGTCCACTCGTAATAATAATAATAATAGATGACATTTGTATAGCGCCTTTCAAGAGACCCAAGGCCGCTTTACATGGTGAACAAACAAACAAACAAACAAACAAACAAAAGGGGCAAATAATAAAGTAAAAACATTTAATAAATAGCAGTAGGAGTGGAAGCAGGGGGTCTGTGATGGGTTAGGGGTCAAAGACCATGGTGAACAGGTGAACTCGTAGAATTAATAGATGATGAAAAGTATTTATTTGAAGTTAATTATCTGTACAGTGGTAGGTAGTAGAAAACACGCAAACTGGACCTAAGTAAGATCTACAAATAAATAGAAAAGTTACAATACCAACTTTTATTTAAATAATATTGTTATATAACACCTGTTTTTTTTAAAGTGGACCTATCATGCTATGTTTAGGCAATAGTATAGGTCTCAGATACATAAAAAAATATAAAAAACATGTCTATGAAGTGTTTTGCTCAAAATACCTAACAGATCACCCATTCTAGCCATGCCTCATATCCCTCTATTTCACTTCCTGTTTCAAAAGTGCTGATTTGGGGTATAAAGCTTTAAAAAAAAAAAATTTGATAACAAAAAAAAAGGAGGTCTG